TGAAAATAAAACCATTGCTCAGATTAATGGTTATTCAAAAATGCTTTCCTTAAATAACTTTAAAAATCACAGCTTAAAAATATATAATTATTGCTACATACTGAGGTAAGAGCCTCAGAGGTGCCCTCTTAAAGGACCAGTGTGTGAGATTTAGTGGCCTCTAGTGGTGAAGTTGCAGATTGAAACAAACTGAACACCGTTCGTGTCTGTATTTGACGACCTGGGAATGACAATGGGCTGCAAAGTGTGTAGGTGCAACTACAGTGGCACACTTCATTGTGTACTCCATGGATGGTGACCCTTTAGATAAAAATAAAAAGATTCTAAGGTAATGAAAACACAACAATTCCTATATTCAAGTGATTATTCATTAATGAAAACACACCTATGAATCTTATTATTTTTTTTTTTTGCCAATAGATTCTCCTAGATGTTACACACTGGACCTTTAAGTAGAGCACACTTGTATTCCTCTATACGCTCTTCTCTCTTTATTCACTTGTGCTCCAGCTCCGTCTCTCTATTATTATTTCTCATCAAAAATTTGGTGACACCATCAGCAGAGAGTTCAGAGAGACCTTAACTGTGTGCTCCACTGATCGGACAGGTGACCCTTACTACGTTGTTCGCAAGTTAGCTAGCTGTCTAATTAACTAGCGTTTTTGGTTGTCTTTTTAACATGGACCAGCCTAACACATATCCAAGTACAGGGAAGGAGAAAGTTCCAAAAGCCGTAGGAAGGGTCAATTGTCCCACTCACAGTTCTATTACAGTACAGCAACGCAATGTCTCAGCTTCAGCCCACCTTCCACACAAAAAGAAAAGGCACTAGATGAGATAGTTTATGGAGCAGCACAGCGTATGATAACTTAAAACTAACCCTAAGGTAAAGGAACAGATCCAGAAAACTGCTCACACACACATGGACCTGCAGAATGCTTTGTAACTGGTCAAAGAATTTTTCTACCATGCAAGAAGATGAACGGTCACTTTCTAATTGCCTGGTGGAGAATTCACTTCTCCAGTGTCTCTTCTTTGAATTTTCACAAATATGCCGTTCTTGGGTCCTAGAGTGCTCGACGACTTCAACTCAAGAGGAACCTGCACAAAGAAAAGAATACCATATGTAAAAGGAACTTTAAATATAGGATTACATTTATAACACATATGTAAATAGCTGACAGATATATACTAAATTCTGACTATTACATCATTAGTTCCAGAGGCTTATTTTTGCAAATCACAGCAATCTCAAATGTCAATATAAAATAAAACAGTACATCAATATGGATAGTCTAATTAAGATATGAGGTGATGCAATTGCACTCCAACACTGAGACAAAAACTTGATCCACCCCAACAGGTAATTTGTCTTTTTCTACTGTCATATGTTGGTAAAATCCCAAAGCAAGGGGATGGAACTTTAATTAGTATCATTGGTAATGTCTGTGTTTACCCTTCTACTACAGTCAAAATGGCTGCTGTAAAAAAGATCTATAAGTGAACATAACAGATGTGACTACACTGCAGTTGATAACACTCTCTGATCTCTTGTGATGTTTGATACAATCTTTATACAAATTATTGTTGGAATTATTTATACAGATGCTTCAATATTGTATTATAATTTAAGCAGTGAGTGTATGCTGATGATTCTGTGTAAATGCAGACACACTGTAGAATTACTTTCACAGTAGGACTGATTCTCAACAGATATTTTTCCATTTTCACCTGAGCAGCTACTAAATGTGGCCGTCTGGTCTTTTTAAAATACACGTGTAGTGTGTGAATGTGTCTTCTGTGTGTTTGAATCCTTTCTAAGACTAGAATGCTTTTTAGTTTCTTTAGTGTATAAAGTCTCCAGCCCACCTTGGTCTCAGCGCACGCCACAATGCTGAACCTGCGGAATAGACACACGAGAGCCATTTTGATTTCCAGTTGGGCGAGCCTCATTCCCACGCAGTTACGGGGACCGGCCCCGAACGGCAGGTATACAAATGGATGTCGACTGGCCTTGGCTTCTTGTGTGAATCTGGAGATGAACCACAGGTTATATTTTTGAGTGAATTAAAAGCAGCAGTGAATAGGAGTCAATCAAAATAGTGTATTTAATTTAGCTTTATTGCGATGCAGGGACTACCTTTGATTTATCTGTTAGTTGCAGGTGGTGATTAATCAAAGTAATTTTCATAAATTTGTCAGCAAATACAGTTAAGCAATCTACACCTTCTTTTAGATGATAATGAAGCACAATGTGCAAGAACTACAGTTTTGTTTATTTTCTGTAAGAACAGCCTCCTACCGCTCAGGAATGAACTTCTCAGGCTCTGGCCAGTGCTCTGGGTCATAGTGGAGGAAGCCTGCTGGGATCTCCAGTGTCGCTCCTTTAGGGAGGAACTGGCCGTTCACCACGCAGTCATTATCGATGTCTCTCGCAAACCTTTATAGGGTAAAATGCCATGGATGCAGTTTTATACACATTTATTATATAGGGGATTTCTAAAGTTAAATCTTAAACTTATTTGTCCTTTTTTACACAATGTATTTACAGAAATAAGTTAATTTATCCTCATTTATGTTCTAAATTTACCTGAATCCGGGGGGATAGAGGCGCAAGGCTTCACTTATAACCATGTCTAAATACTTCAGCTCCTGGACATTTGTGTAATCTGGTGACTCCTACAACAAAAGGGAAAACAGGGATAATTATTAAAGTGATTCTGCATAAGTCAGTTTCAGACTTTACTGTGTACTCTGAATTTGTTTTGTTTTTGTACTGAATGTTGTCACAAGCTGAAGAACTTGAGATCAGCAACACACTCACATGTCGGGTAAAGAAATCATCCACCTCTTCCTGTACTTTGACTTGGCATTCGGGATGGATGGCCAGGAGGTAGCAGGTGAAGGCCAACGTGTTGCTGCTGGTCTCGTAGCCTGCCAGAAGAAAGACAAAAGCCTGCCCCACGATCTCATCCTCAGTTATCATCTTTTTCTGTGGACGCCTGGTGGGGGGCTCTTGTGGGTGCTCCTGATCGGAGCCTGGCGGTTGTGTCTGCTGGTTCCTGTGATCTGTCTCACTAGATGGGTTTGCCGAATCAAGGTGTTCCAATGAAACACTCTCTTTGCTGGTTCGTGCATCCAACATAAGCTGAAGGAAGTCTCGACGCCTCTACATGAAAATCAATAAATGCATTTTAAAAAACAATTTATTGGAAATTAAGTTGCACTGTATTTAAGATGATTAAATGTCCACGAGGTTTACCTGTTCAGGAGGCTGTTCCTCTCTCTGCTGGATGATCTTCTGAATGCTGTTGATGAAGAAATGATTCATCTGGTCTCGTCTTTTGTTGGGGATCAGTCCCGCCAGAGGAGCCATGATGAATGGAAAAGCAACTGGAAACACAAACCAAATGTGTTGGTGGAACTCTACTTGAAATGTCAACTTTACACACTTGCACATGACTGTATAATAATTAAATGCATGTGTTTCTATGTTGATTTCTATGAGTTACTTGGGAACCACAAATACTTCTGTCACATACTCTCACTTTAATCTTTGTAACAGAGGATAGTAAACCCTCCAGTGTAGGGTCTATGCTTTATCAATACTGTATATTCTTTTGCCCTCACTGCATTCCTATAGAAACGTCCCATATGAAATGTCCTATATAAATGTCTCAAATGTAATAATTCATGTACATAAATAAGAATACAGATAGGACTGACTGAAAAACAGCATGATGGGCCTGAAGAAAGAGAAGGAGAAGAACATCTGCGCATGGCGGACAAACGGGTCATCTGGGTTGTTCTGAGAGTCCACCTGAGTAGCGAATGCCACACTGGCGATAACGTCCATGGTGAAGCAGCCAAAACACCTGAAAAAACATGAAGTCATCAATATGAGAGAGGACAGAAAAAGACACCAGAATTCTAACAGCCTCTGTTCACTGCATGTATGATTACTTGTGGATGTCGAAGGCCTCTCCTGACTCAGCGTAAACATTCAAGTTGTTCATCAGGGCAACGGTGGCTGTGTTGATGAGCGGGACCATCTACAGGAAAATATAAAACACAATGACACGCAGTTGCTGAGACTTTATGGGAAAGAGAAGACACACATCAAGTGGTCCTGCGAATGCTTTTACAGGAAAATCGGTCCATAAATACCACAGAAATTAGGAAAAGGTGTGGTTCCACAAGTTTAAAAAGCACTTTTGCACTATTACACTGAAAAAGCCTTTGTAGATTAAAAACACCAATAAATACACAAACTGAATGGATGTACAGTAACAGATTTAAGATGGAAATAAAAGATGATGTGACATGAAGAATACAGTTAGTTACATCTGTCTGTCCACACTTCTTACCTATCTGTGACAGACAAAAACATTTTCCCTCAGATGTCTGTGAGGTGTATCATGGAGCCATTTATGATCAGCTCTGCTAACTGGCAGATTCTGTGATAAATATCGGCTGATTCTAATTGGCGCCGGATCGGTGTACACGTTCATATCTCACCTCTTTCATCTTGGCAGCGCTGAATGATGGGGTCAGGATGCTCCGCACTCTCTTCCAACGTTCATTCCTCAACATGAGCAGACAGTCCGTCATTGGCTTGGTGGCAAAGCGAACAGTCTGCAGAGAGACAGCAGAGTACAGGCACAACAATCTGTTATGATTATATCACCATATGATATCATAGAAGCTTATGTTAGAATCACATAGTGTAAATGTCCTTACCATTCTGTTTGGGAAGCTGCTGAAGTCCCTCACCATCACTTGTCTCAGCATGTCAGGGTCCGCCACCACCACTACCGGTCTGCGGCCCAAATAATACCTAAAATATACCAAGTAGAGTCTCAAATCAAACAACAATGTAATGTTTATTTTACAATGTCAAATGCTGATGTAGACTGTATTTATTCTACTTACCCACAGACTCTCCCATGTGTCTTTATGAGCTCATTGATAGGACTGAAAAAACCCTACAAAGAAAGTTAAAGAACAACATCAGAACAGACTAAAAATAACACGACACAAGAAAAGACCCAGACAGAGAAGCTTTTTTTAAGAATGAAATGACTCCTTGTTGGAGACAGACTGATATTTGGGCTGCTGCCTTCTGTGACAGCTTATCAGCCCCATGGGATCTGCAAATGGTCAACTGACAGCCTAATAAAAGGACCAGCACTGAAACTCACCTATAATCCCTGACCAAAACTAAAAGCCACAACGAGGGGAAAGAAAGAAAGGAAATTTGCAATTCTTCCTGAGACAAATGGGTTGACTAGCTTTTAGCTTTTCTTCTGAACAAACACCTGAAACATCTTAATGATGAAGGTCTCTCTTCAGCACTTTCAAAGAGATGTATATAGATATTCTGTATGCTACGAGCACACAGGAATGATCAGCAACACTTGCAGCCTGAACTTTCCATGTTGTCACTTCACTCGCACAACTTTCAGATCTCTTTGACATTCAACGATTCCACATATTCAGATAAGATCAAAGCCCAGATCGCAGGTTTTGAGTTTAGTTTTTTTTGCCAAACTGGCAACCACACGCAACTGCAGTTATACACCTTTGTTCAATAATGAGTAAGAGAGCATGAATGAAAAGCGACAATGACACAGCTTCACAAATGCTGCAAAAAATACAAAAACATATAAACTTCTACACCTAGATTGTGCCTATTAATTGACTTACTTTTGATTTACTAAATGCCATGTGAGAACCATTACTGTAAGTCCTTACTGAGTAAGCTAAAACTCCTCAAGGAGAGATGCTTAATCCTGCCGACCTGACTCATTTTAAGATTCTTAAACTTGCATGAAAAAGCTCTGTAGTGGGAGCTCCAGAGGACATCTTGCCCGAACAACTGAGCAGAGCCCAACCGAAAAGTCTGCAAACCATAAAAACCTGAAATTGATCTGATCATTGTTTAATGTTATATGAAGACGAGTTTAGTTTTGATCAAGTAGTAAAATTATAATCCCCTCAGTGAAACATGACCCCGTCACGATAGCAAACCAAACGCTGAGATGAAACAAAACAAAATGTAATTATTTATACATTAACCTATTTGCGGGATTATTTGGTGCATCAAATATGTCTAATCTTATGTGCTCTTTAATGCAGAAATCTGATAAAATGTAGTGATATGTTGGAGGGAAGATATTTGTACACCGTCAGTGGGTAAAATGTCTCATAGTCCAAACAGATTTTGGAAAAAGGTAAGAGAATGAGGGCTACGTCTCAGTTTCATTGAAAATGCTGCAATATCTTACCTGACGAAACATGAATATGTTGCCCAAGAAAGGTATTGGCTTTGGATGTTTGATGCCGCATCGCGAAAGGACTGAATAGGGGTAAATTGAATACCTAGAAGAAAGAGCACAGATTTGTGTTGATGAGTCATGAATGAAAAGGAAAAAAATATTATAATATTAACCAACATTTCCCCAGATATTCAGCCCACTAGTCAGATGACTGGTTTTTCGTTGGAGCACACAAAACTGCAGCATCAAACCCCTGTTAGTAGGGCTGAACGATTAATTGCATTTGCGATAATATCGCGATATGATAAAAACGCGATTTTCTAACCGCAACGTGCGCGATTACAAGGGGGTCACGTGACACGAGCGAAAGAGTGGAGAACTGGGCTGCGTCAGCTTTTCATGCTGCCCTTTAACCTGTTGCGCAATGGCCTCTGGCTCCACGGAACAAAGTGACACAGCTGAGACTTCAGTGTGGAAGAGGAACAGCACGTCGGTGGTACTATGTGGTTTCACTGACGAAATGTTTGAAAGTGTCACTCCATTTGAACGATATTCAAAAACGGCACGGGGAACGATCACTCGGCGGCCAATAACCGAGTTCATAGCCAAAGATATGATGCCCTCTCAGCACGGTGACGCAAGCCCTGGGTCCATGGCATTGATAAATACGCTTGATAAACGGTACGTACTAACCCTCCCGTACATCACTGCAGTCCGACTGCCCATACCGGAGGATGCTACAAAAAGTGGCTGTGAAACGTTACTGACTTGGGAGCAGTAACGATACATACTCATTTTAATTTTTTTTTTTCTTAAGACTGTAAATTTCTGCACAGTGTTTACAAAGTGCATGCCTTTGTTTAAATTACTAAATGCCACAGTGGCAAAGCCACAGATGTTTCTGTAAAAGCAGTTAAAATAAAAATGTCCATTTTATTTCAAGTCCATACACTCTTTTAATTTAATTCCCTAACAAATAGGCCCAGGCCTATGGGAAAGAAACATTTTACACTAAATGGCCCT